CAGAAACTCTGGGAGGTAGCACCCAGAAGTCTGTGTTTGAACAAGCTTTCTAGGTGATTCTCATATACGGTAAAGCTTGGGAACTACCAGAATTCTCCATGGGACTTAAACATGAAGTGCCGCCTCTTCTTGGGTCTCAGCTACTGGGAGGGTGCCCAGATGAAGCATGAAAGATGGAGCTGTCCTCTCATGGAGAAGGCTATTGCAGGTGCCAGGAACAAATACATCACTGTGGAAGCTACTGCAGGGGAGGGGCTGAGGGGGCACTGGTATTTTATAAGAACACAAATACTTTGTATGTGAGGGCAATAAAGCTCACTCCACTGCAGCAGAATCAGTCCCACCCTTTGACGGAGTAGGGATCACACTGAGTTGACTGTCCCAGCCGGCAACCTGGACCCTGGGTTGCACCTGGCCTCAAGTGGACTTCCCCAGAGACTGCACTCATCCCATTTCTGGCCATGCCCTTCCTGTTCCACAGATTTGAATAAACCAGGAACCTACAAAGGAGCCATGATTGGTTGTAAGATGAGGAAAGTGAGAATCAAGGACTGCTCTGGGAGATTTAGTGGGGGACTGCTGGCTCTGGCTTCTACAGGGTACAGAGGGATGAGCTCCCAAAGCCCAGTGTCTATGCTTTGCATACTGTCAGTGCCTGATGGCTGGGAGCTCGTGATGCAGAGCCTGGCCTTTAAAAGACTGGAGGACCAGTTGAGTCTCGTCCCCAAGACTTGATTGGCTGTCAGGTGACAGAGCTGAAGATGCTTCCCCAGTCAGAGGTAGGGTCAGCAGGTGCTCTGACTGACAGTGCCCTAAGCTCTTTGTATGTGCCATCTCATTTAATCCTCACCAGGCCTCTGAGAAGAAAAACCTGTCACTGATTAGGCCTCTGAGGCACTGAAAAGCCGGGTCCCTGACTCAGGTCCTCCAGCCAGGGTGGTGCAGAGCCCTGGTCTGATGGCAAAGCCCTGGAGAATGGCAGCAGAGGCATCCCCTGTGTTCATACTGACTCAGCCGCTCTCAAGTTCCCTCTCCCTGTCTTCATCCACCCAGCTCTGCGTTGTCATCCCATTTCATGAATCAAGCGACAGTCACCACAGCTCTTTCCTCAGGAACTCTGCCCCCTTCCAGCCCTAGTGGATCTGCCTTGGACGCCCAGTCTGGACCTGAATTGCATCTGCATCCTGCAGAGACTTTAAATTCTGCCCTATCAGGGCCGTCATGACAGAGCCGTGTGTGGGGGCAGGAGGGAGCTCTGTCCTGCACGATGGTCTGCACATTAGGAAACAGGACAAGTCCTGAAGGCATCCTCTGGCAGCAAATGGAGCGAGAGGGCATAAGCGTGGCCCATGGCTAGAGCTAGGGGATGAGCCTTAAGGGGTTCCTGGAGGGAAAGAGAAGGCCTGGTGACCCACAGAGGTGGGGATTTGGGAAGAGAGGTGAGGTGTGCCAGCTGCACACAGGGTAGTTTGGGGGAAAAGACTGAGCTGTTCAGAGGGAGCTTAATGGGGTTTGCTATAGGTGATGTGAAGGGAAGACTTCTGCCCTCTCCAGGATCCAGTGTCCCACAGTGGGTGCTGAGAGATGGCAGAGATGATTGGGCACATGGGTCTCCTCCTGGGTTCTGAAATGCAGGATGTGAAGGTCACCATGACCAGAGGTGACCAGGGTTGGTTGAATGATGGTCATTCCTGGGACTCCAATGTGACAGCCCACTCTCAGAACCCTTGAGTAGCAGGTGGTTTGCCCTATCCCTGATTGGACCTGCCTTCCTCATGACAACGTGCTGGTAACTGTAGACAGCAAAGGACTCCAAGACTAGATGCCTGCCCCCAACAGGGCTGGAAGGTACAGAGATTCAGTGCGTCACTCACTGCCCACATAGCATCCCTAGCCCAGTATTTGTGGGTCTGTGTCCCAGGGTGCAAACTGCAAGGTCTTTCGTGAGTTGGCAGATGACGTCACTAAGCTGTTACCTAGAGGCAGGGATCATCTGAGTTGGCTGGTGGTCTGTGTCCTCAGGTGTAGCATCTTTGTGCTATTTGGTGGTTGGTACCTAAGGTGAGAGGTCCCTGAAATATTTGTGGGACTCTTATCTCAAGAATAAGGTCTTTGAACTATTTGGTGTGTGTGGAAGCAGGCGGGGGGAGGGAGGTGAGATGGAGCAGGACTTTGTCCAGAGATTTAGGTCTCAGAGTTGTTTGTGTATCTGCATCTTAGAGTGCTTTCATGGGGAAAGTAGAATGCATCTTCCTCACACGGAGCCTAGAATAAGGTCTGTGATATCAGATTGGATCTGATTTCTCGCATCTCTGCCCTGGTGCCATAGAGATCAGAACATAGGCTCCTCTTCCTCAGGGAGGGCGAGTCCTCATTCATGTGAAGCCCTTAGGAGCCCATGCTAACAACACTACCAATAATGACAGTATCCGTTGACACCAGCCACATCCAGGCTCCAGGCTAAACCCTGTGACAAACCCATGTATACATAGCAATCTACTAATCTGCCAACCATCCCAAGTGGAGTTCACTGTTTTCAGATCGTGAGGCTTAGACTAAGTGAGGGTGGGTCAGATGCTGACAATTCTCAGCTCCCTAGGAGAGGAGGAACTGGATGCACCCTTGGACTCGTGGATGGAACCTTGGACTCAGTGTCAGGGAGGGGAGGGGAGGCGAGGCTCAGGCACAGCTGAGGTTGAGACAGGGATGACAAGGGAAAGGGAAAGGGAAAGGGAAAGGGAAAGGGAAAGGGTAAGGGTTTCTCAGGCCCTTAATGGGGGCTAAGGTCCCCCAAGGATCCTTTAACTGTCTTAACGTTGGATCATACACCCATTCTGAGGTACAGCATGCAGTAGTCACATTATCTATGGAGGTTGTGGCATGAAGTAGAGGGGTGGGAAATACCTCAAACTCCTCAATTTGTACAAGGCCCCGCAGCAAAATGTAGGGAACCTTGCTCCCCTTTCCTGCTTTATTTTCCAGTGCCAACAGCAGAACAAAGATTTGAGGGAGTGTGAGGGACCCTGTGTACAGCATGGGCCTCCCCATAATTAAACAAATCCTTAACCTAACAGTTAGAGGGTCCTGACGTGTGTCAAGGTAGAGAGGAGAGTCTTCCCTCATGACTGAAATCAAGGCCAAGGGCAGCTGAGTCATCTTTAAAAAGTCCCAGGAAGGAAATTCCTTTTCCTTGTAGAGACAAGCACAGCACCTAGTAGCATGGATTGGGGTCCAGAACTGTGGGTGCTGATTCAGCTGGGACAGTGGGTGGCCAGAAAAGTTCTCCATCCTTGTCTCTGGAATGTTCTCCTTCTTTCTGTCTTCCTTGTGCCTGTTACTTTGTCTCTCTCACACATGGAGCTGGGTGTGATCTCATTCACCGCACGCTATGAGGCCCCTTCCTCAGCCTTTCCTTAAGATATCATCCACTGACATGGATTTTTGTGGGGAAACAGATAGGGGAGGGTCCTCCTGAGACTAAGAATTGTCCAGGAAGGCACATTTGGCTGCACAGGGACTGGGGAAGGGGTCCTTCCTTGAGGAAAGCCAGACTCTCCTCCTTATACATTGCATGACCTGGATGTCCACTCTGGCCTCTGAAAGAGGCATAGGGGCTTCTCTGTCAAAAACCCTCCCAAGGCACACTCAGAGTAAGTTGAGATCCTCATCATGGCCCAGAAGGCCCTAGTGATCTGGCCCTCTATGACCTTATCTATTAATATATTACCTCTCTTTCCCTTGGCCACACAGCCCCGGGTACAATGCCTTCCTCACCCCCCAGTCCTCACACATGCTTGGCAAAATTCCCACCCCACTGGCATTTTTGCACTGGCTCTTATCTCTGCCTAGAATGCTTTTCTCCCAGATATTCACCTCCTGTAGGTTTCTGCTCAAATGGCACGTCCTCAGAAAGGTCCTCCTTGGCCATTCTTTCTAGAACTGATCCTCACCACTTTATTTCATTCTCCTGACTTAAGTTTCATTACATCAATGACCACTACCTGACAAACGATGTTGCTTAGATTTTTGAGCTTAGATTTTTTCTGTATGTGATCCCAATAGAATGCAGGCTTCATGGGGGCAGAGATTTTTGTCTGTTTCCACATAGCTGTATTCCTAATACCCATAACAGGGTCTGGTACATAATTTGGACAGAATGAATGAATGAAATATGAAAAGTTGTGGTGAAAGACATACCTAAGGCAGGTGGAGGATTCTGCTAACGATCATGCTCAGAGGTTACAAGATTTATTGACCTTCTCTGTGTCCTTGGGGCCCTGGAGAGATGGCCCTTTCCCTAACAGGAATAGAAGGTCTTGCTGTCTCTCTGACCCATAACCGACAGTCAAGGACAACAGCCTCCTCAAACCAGCCCTCCTGCTCCTCGGAGAACTGCAGTTGGGTTCCCAGGCTAGCAGGCCTCTTTTAGACCTACTGTACATTAGCCAAGGAGGTACAAGCGAGCCCAATGCCCAAAGTTTAATAACACTCCCTCATTGTAATGGTAGACACTGCAGGAAAATACATTTCAGCCTAGGAAGACTTCTTCCTGTGTCTAAGACTGCAACAAATACACAGTCAGGATTTTAGTCTTCACTTTGCCCACTCACCCTTTGGGGACCTGCCTGGAACAGTCCATGGCTATCAGCACCAACCAGCTGTTCCCTGTTTCACCACCAAGGGGCGCGCGAGATAAATTAACTGGAACGCGCACCACTAAGGGGCGCGCAGGTAGGAGAGTCCACTCCGGAGGTACACGGGGAGGGGATGTCCATTTTGGAATAACACCTTGCGTGCTTGACAACACTCAGCGTCCTCGTAAACACACCTGGGGCATCAACCACGGTTCCCAGTGGAGGAACTAATGGCCCCGGCCAGGAGGTCTGTACTCCGACCACTTGGTTTTGCTGGCCCATCCGAGACCGCGGCGGCGAACACCCCTTCGTTTTTACATAGACATAGTCAAATCCAGCTGGGGCGCGCAAAGGGGCGAGCATTTGGTTCCGGGATGTGAAGGGTAGTGTCAAGGGCCGTTCTGGGCAATGATTGGGCACCGCAAGAACGCCCGACTAAGCCTTTCCGGGTTCAGGGCAGCTCCAAATGGACCCCTAGTCCCTGCCTCCCTCTTCGTGTACCCAGTGCCCATTGGCCGACTGTTGGGGACCGGCACGATGATTGCAGGACGGAGTTCAGGCGGCAGGTGAGGGGTGTGTGTGTGGCCTTTCAAAGTGTTCACCAACTGATTGTCTCAAACGGGCTGAAGATGCTGCCTTGGCAGAGTTCATCCTAGTTACATGCTTGTAGCTGCAGCCTGAGTCTAGGTGAGCAGGATGATGGGTACTCTCTTCACGTGAGCCCTTTCTGTTTTGTTTACCTGTAACCTCGACGCAACCCTGGTCGGGCACTTTGGGCAACCACCATTATGTCAAAAATACATTCCGTTCCTGTTCAGGGAGCAGTCTCTGAGCTGGTGTCTGCCCCGGAAGTGTGGAAGGCAGTTTTGGGGGGTGTGTATCGCTAGGTATCACATCCCAGCCGTTTGGGGGATTGTGTCTGAATGGAATGTTTTGTCTGAATGGATTTTATGTGTTATGGTGTGAGGTCTCCAGGATCTGTGTGCCTATGTGTCAGGGTGTGCATTTTCTGAGCTTTTAGAGCTTTTGTGTTCCTGAATGTGCCTTCTCTTTGGGGGTACCTGCATCCTAGGGTGTGAAGTCTCTGAGCTGTTTGTGATTCTGGTTTCCAAACTGTGGTGTCTCTGGCTTACTTGGTGTTGGGGGATGGGGGTGGGGAGGCAGCTATGTCTTAAGGTGTAAAGTGTTTGAGTCTTTGTCCACGGTGTAGGGTCTCTGATTTGTCTGGAAACTTTATCTTTTTTAAAAAGATTTATTTAT